GCAGGCCAGGCTGGGTGTGACAGCACTCCAGCCATGCTCCAGGGAGGCCAGGAAGCACTTTCAGCTTCTTGTGGAGGTCTTCCTCCGTACTGGGCCCCAGGCTTCAGGAAAACAAGCAGGCAAGTTTGCTGTTGCAACAGGAGGCCAGTTTTATTTTGACACTGCAGGATGAAGGTTTGAATCTTGGCTCTGCCAGCTGAGGCTCAGTTTGTTAGGTTCAACCAGGATGAGGAGCTGCTCCATGCTCTCTGCCTTTTCCAGCTCCTGGGGTACGCAGACCCTCACCTGCAGAAGGGGTCTCCTCCCTTACCTATTGCCAGGCAGCAGGGAAAGTGGTGGTGGGCATCCTTCGTGGGCAGAGCTGGTGTCCTTAACCCTCGTCTCCCTCGAGGTGGCACACCTTAAGGGAGACATACCTTTAGCAAATGTAAAATGACATGCTCGTGTCACTCACAGCCTGTCATCTTCGTTCCTGTGCAGCTTGATGGAAGCATCGCTTTGATGCTCCATCATTTCCATTGTTAATGCAGAATAGCCTTTGTGTTCAGTCTTACATTATCAGCTTCCAGGCCTTCTTCAAGCAGAGCTGTCATGTGTCCAAGCCCAGCCTGGTCTGGGCACCACACGCATCCACCATCTCACTTCCCCATCTTGGGAATGACTAAGGTGGTGCATGCTTTAACACCCTCGAGACTGCTTTTTGTTCTGGTGCAGCTTTCTTTAAATGCCTCCTCCCACTTTCCTTTGAAGGTGAAGGGACCTGAGCGTCTACTTTGTTTAACGCAAGAAGTGTGAAGACGCCTGCTCCATCCGAACCACAGCTTCAAAGTGAGCTGGAGCAGATCTCTAAATTTTAAGCGTTAGTAACCTTGAGCTCCAGAACCAAATGTGGATCAGTGGAATCTGTTCCAGTTATCAGAGATGAAATAAAGCTTCACAGTTTGACAATGATGAACTTTAGCCTCCCTCCTGCGTGTCTGTTCGTACCTTTGTCCTCCAGAATTGGTTATCTGACTTGTGTAGGCCTGTTGCAAGTCAGAAGTGCTTGCTCTTGGAAGTTCCCTAAGTGTTTCCTGCTTGTGGCATAATATTTATTCCCAACGCAAGCAAGCCCCCGGTGTTAGGGGCGCAGGTCAGTTAGCATGTTGCCCTTTTCTGGTCTTGGCAGTACACTTGCTGTGACTTCTTGGCATTTTTTTGTTCAGAACTTTCTAAAATCAACTCAAAGATAACAAGTGTGACCTTAGCGACAGCTGCAGAGGGGTGAATTTTCAGCTCCGGTGAAATGCATAAGAGCTGAGGGAGCGTCACAGATGTTACACTGCCGTATTGGCCATGACCTTGAAACTTGTAACGTTGCAGATGGGGGACGCGATAGTTACCATCAGTCTCATCCGCAGCCTTGTGCTTCTGTAGTAGGAGCTGACTGCAGCGATAATGAATCCAGTCTGACTCATCAGTACCTGAACGAGGAGCGCTGCCACCCACAGGGTGCTGGCAGACATTTTGCTCAAGATCTGGCTCTACTGGTGGGGTGGATTTGAAGCTCTCTAGCTGATCTTGATCTTACCTCTTTGCCTGGGATTTCTGGATCATGTAGTAGCTTACAGCATTGATTGCATGTCAGTGAGGCCCAGTTTATAATCTGGTATTTTAATCATTTTATCTTGACAGGAGGAGATGGCAGCCTAAGAAAACTTTCTTTAAAGATTACAAGGTACTAATGTATGCCAAGTGAACATGTATGTTTGAGAGCAAAGCATACTAAACTGTGTTTCATCCTGCTAGCCTCATGGGCTGTTCCTCCTCCCAGTCATATTTTGGGGCTGCAGTTTCAAATCCGTACTTGGACAGTACATGCAGAAATGGTTGGGTTTGCTCTGGTACGTCCTGATTTTGTAGGTATCCAAAAGACAAGGGGTGTACTGTACCGTGTGCTTTAGGTGTTAGCTCCTGCATGAAATACAGAATTGAGAGCAGAGTCGGCGCTGCCTCTGAATCTCTCTCTCTCTCTTCAGACTTGGACATTTCATCCCGTTTTTGAATCCAGATGTGAATACACTGCATTCACGCATGAGCTCACACATACCTCACCTTGTGCGTCCAGCTGGCAAGACCAAAAGTATTAAAAGCCGCAAAACCCTGTGGTTGTTTCAATAGCCTTTGCTGTATTTGGAAGAGCCCTTGCACAAACTTACTGGAAATCCTCTGAAATTCCACATGTTGGACGAAAAGCGGCAGGCGTAGTTCCTGGGAATTTACAATCCGCTCGTTTTCTGGTGACTTGCTGGCCAGATGCTTTTGACACTGATGTGCGTTCCTCAGCCCTTTCCGTCAGGTGAGCATGAGACGAGGCGGAGGTGCGGGAGCTGGGGCCCAGATGAGATTTCATCCTCTCTTGCCCCAGGTTTGTGTCGCCTCGAGCACAGAAGGTTTGCCCTGAGATGCAAGGAGATGCGTTCGGTGCCCTTGCTTGCAAGTTTGAAAAATACGAGGCCAGAAGGAACGACTCATGATTAGATGAAATTTTTGAGCAGGGGGGATAAGAAGTGAGCAAGTGGGTAGTGAGCTTCTGGAATTGCCCTGAGAAGCTGGGGAGACTACTGCGTTTTCAAAAAGGAATTAACCCTTTTATGATAGCTGGACCGTAAATGTTTCCAAAGAGGATGTCCTAGAGGACACATCCTGCCTGTCACCCTGATGCAGGCACTGCAGCTGGGGAGGGTGCCTGAGCACTGCAACAGGTTGGCCAGAGAGGTTGTGGAGCCTCCATCCTTGGAGATACTCAAAAACCATTTGGACACAATCTTGGGTAACGTGCTGTAGGTGACCCTGCTTGAGCAGGGAGGTTGGACTAGATGATCTCGAGGGGGCCCTTCCAACCTCAATCATTCTGTGATTCTGTTCGGGGAGTGCAACGGGAATGGGCTGGGTCACAGGTGGTGGGCAGAGTCATGAGCTCTCCCCAAATAACATCTCTTATCGGCACTGTTTGAGGCAGAGTGCTGGGCTGGAGATGCTGTTGCTCTGACCCAGGAGGGTATTTCTTCCAGATTTTTCCAAAGGATCCATGAAGCCCAGTGAGTAGGGCTGTTGTCTGAACGCTGACACTGTGTATGCAGGGGTGTCTGTAAACTGAACAGTTTTGCCTGTGGGAGCTAAGGCAGTCCTGAAGTCTTTGGTTCCTGAGGAAACCTTCAGAAAAGGTGAGGTGAAGGTGCTGCTCTCCCTTGGGCTCCCACAGCCCTGGGAACTGCCTCGGTGACGCAGTCCTGGGAGGGTATCGCTGCCAGGAGAAGAATCTCTCTGCTGCGATGGAAGGTCTTTCCCTTGCTCAGCCTTATGACTTCCAGGTCATTCTTTCAAAAGCTTGCCTGAAGGAGTCCTTCCGTGAGGTCTTTTCCCACCGTCCTTTCTCTTTTAAGTAAGTTTTAAGGTAGGCCTGTCTGTAGCAGCAGGGCCTTTCTTCAGGAAGCTTCCTGGGCATTAATTCCCTTCCATAAAATTCTGCCAAGGCATCGCCCAATGCAGAGGAGATCCCGTAACCTTGGATCTGGGTTCCACACCGGGGTGAGAGCTGCTACCTTGCTCTTTAGAAGAGACTGGCTATCACGGAAGAGAGGTGCACTTATTCGCGTGCGTTGGAGAAGGAAAAAGGATTAAGCGATTCACCACAGTTCAAGTCATAATTTCAGGGCTCAGAAGTCTCATTAAAATTAGCTTTGACAGAAGCTTAATTTTGTGGCCACTTGCTTGAATAAAATTTTTGAGGTCTATCCTATTAGGAAGATCTGTTTCTTTTCCTTTTTCTTCTTCTGAAGCCAGCATCTGATCTGAATTTTATTAATGCGAGGGTCTTAATGTGTACGTAGGGTTTTTTAATGCTGCATCTTAGCTGCTCAAAAGGAAGTTATTTCTCCAGATGTTTGCTGTTACTGTTAAGTTCTTATGTGGATCAAATGTCTAGTAACTTGTCGAGTGCATGAATCGCTGTGTGTTTTATGAATGAGTGTGATTATTTGCACTTCCCACAGAGGAGGACTGTTAAGGCAAAAAGACCTTTCCTGTGCACATTAAGCAAACACTGGAGATGTATGAACAATATCTGAAAGTATTACCCTTAGACAAAGACTAATAACTAAATGCACACCTCTTGAGAAGGCATGGAGGGCACGCGTGTGAGACTGCTGGGGAGACGTGAATTTGAAGCACCTTGGGACCAGCAAGCGACCCTGAGCGTTGCCACGGGTCTGGTGTTAGGCGAGAAGGCACTGCGTAACTGCCATCACGTATCCCCAGGTGTTCTTCTCCGTGATCCTAGAGCAAATGCTTGGGAAAGTTGGGTTGAGGAGGGGGACAAATCTGCCTGAATAGTCAAGGGCCCTTTCTAGAATGCATTTTTCTGCATGTAGATGGCCTGAATAACCCAAAGAGCATCTCCTTTGTGCAGATAAACTAAACATCCTGGGCCTGGCAGAATTCAAAACATGCTGGGCAGGCAAACACGCCAAGTGCCAACTGGGTGTTATATACGAGGTAATCCCAACCCTGCCCTAAAGCACTGCAGGGGTCTAAAATACACAATGACAAGACTGGCATTGGCGAAGAGTGAGGCAACAAGGCGTGGGGAAGGGACACGCTTGGACAAGGGTGGGACAAAACCATGAGATATTTAGGATCTGTCCAGGCATGTCCATGGCCGTGCTTCACAAATAACGTGTATTTAAGGAAGAAGATGATGTTTCCAAGGTTTGAAATGAAGCTGGAGACCACAACCATGAAGGAGGGATAATCTGTTAAACAGCTGATTAATGGCTCAAAACTTGCCACTACCCAAGAGATGAGAGTAGGTGCTGAGCACAGAGCCCAGGCCCAGGGGGACTAAGAGCTCAGCTCTGCCAATGAATCTTTGTTGATCATAAGCTGAAGGAGGCTTTAATAGTGGCATTTGCGAGTCGCGCTCACTGCTGGTAACCTTATTCACCATTACTGTATTGCAGTTCCTCGCCTTCTGGAGTGTTTGAGAAAGAATATGACATTTATCGGGATTACAATGCAGAAGGTCAACTCCTCCACTACAGGTAGCCGAAATTTACCTCCGGGACTGGGGCTGTGGGTCTGAAACGTGGCCTCTGCAGTGGCATGTGGGTTTGGGACAGCCCGCGTGCTATGGGCAGGCCTGTGGGGAAGGGGCAGGGGATGACACACAGATTTGCTTCGCACTCTTCTGATTCTTCCCTCTCCCCCTCCCCCCTCATAATGTGGTTTGTAGCTGTGCTACCACCCTTAAATAAACCTCAAGATATGTTTTGCTGGTTATTTGGAGCAGGGACCGTCATTGCCTTTAAGCAGTGGTCCCAATTTGCATGATGCCAAATAACAGAAACTGCAGCAGGGGAGAAGGAGCCCCTGGGTCAGGGCTGTTTAGTGATGGGATCACAGCTCTGGTATCCGAGCTCCCAGTCCATGGGGTTTCATTCACCCTCCGGCGTGAGCGGTGGCTTCAAAGCTTTTTTTTTTTTTTTGTCTGAGCAACGCTGACTTGAGATTGTAGCAGATATTCAGTTGCAGGAGTGATTGCTCTGGGTACGTTACAGGGGCTATAAAAATTGGGTTTCACTCGGGTATCCGAGCTCCCAGTCCATGGGGTTTCATTCCCCCTCCGGCGTGAGCGGTGGCTTCAAAGCTTTTTTTTTTTTTTTTTGTCTGAGCAACGATGACTTGAGATTGTAGCAGATATTCAGTTGCAGGAGTGATTGCTCTGGGTACGTTACAGGGGCTATAAAAATTGGGTTTCAGGCAGAAAGCTGCCTGTTGATACAATGCCACCTGTGCTGCTGTCTCATCACTGCATAGCTGTTTATGTAGGAATTTAACATAACAATTTTCCAATATTTGTTTTTATTTGTCATTAATGAGAAAGCTATTAAAAATTGGAAAGGAGAAATCATCTGGTCTGTGGGTCCACTTGCTGCATGTGGTGTCCTAGAAGACACCACATGGGTCCAAGCAGGACTTGTCTCAGCTGTGCTCCAGCTGCCCATTATTGGACCTGTCGCCTCCGAGCGCTGCTGATCCAGCCCCAGTGTGTGCCATGCTGGGGCTATGGCTTGGAATGGCTTTCCACCCCACAACCAGCTTCTAGGCTCTCTCCTAGGATTTTTGTATTGACTGAAAACAGGTTTGCTAAGAGCACGATTGGACTATCTGTAAAAGCCCTGACTTTCTATTCCATGATGGTTTGTGTTTGTGGCTAGTGAACTGGTACCAAAGCACACCTGAAAGTGTAGTGGCTTCTTGTCCCAGAGGTTTTTGCATGTCTTTGGTGGCTGATGGCTCTTTTTGGGGGCGCAGGTATCCATTCAATGCATCGCTGCAGCAAGCCTGGCTGATTCTGCATAGTCTCCTTAGAGCCCCAGGAGAGGCCAGCCTGGAGATGGGAAGGCCTCCTGAGAAATGAAGTAATCTCTTCCAGCCCTGGGGGTCCAGCTGCTTTGCAGACTCTATTTGTAAGACAGATATGAGCTTTCTCTTCCTGGAACCTACTTTTCAGGTACTCTGTGCTAAGCAAGCTGCCATCTCCAGCTCTCATGGATTTATGTTGCTAGAAGCTGTGATGTCTCGCTTGTCTTTGTTACATTTCTAAACTCCCCTCGCAGAGTGGGCAAAGAGAAGCGGTTCAAATTTACAGATGCTGTGAGCTTTTCACTAGCGCTGTTGTAGGTTAACACCTTGGAAGGAACTGGCTGGTGGTAGCACTCAAGTGGGTCTACACTGGCGAAAATCAAGAGCGGAGTATGTCTGCATAGATCATTAGAGCTAAAGGCCGCTGTGCTGGAACTCCTGGAGGGTGGCTCAGTGCCAGCTCACTGCTTTTGAAACAAGCTTTTTGCCCCCCAAACCCAGGGTGCTGTGAGCTGGGCTGAATTTAGGGTGTCTGAGAGTTTGCTCTTGTTGCGGCCCAGATGGCTCCTTGGCAGCCCTTTCTCAGTGGCCAAAGGATGCGTGGTAGCTGAACTGCCTCATTCTGCCTCGGGGCGTTTGAGAGATGCCCAATTCAGATGCTGCCTGCAAGGACGGAGGTGATGTTGAGGCTGTGCAAACTCAAGGCATTTCAGCAGGGGCCAGGTGTGACTTCCCTGCAGGCCCAGACAGACCTGGCCTTGCATGAGCTCTCCCAACCATGCACGCTCCCAATGCATGGAGCATTGTATCCTCTTACCTGCTGGCAGCATCCAAATTAAACCAGGTGGGAACAGGAATAAATCCCCTGTGCTGGACTCCTCCTAATCCAGGGGTTTTACCAATGCAGACCTGCTAAGGAGACATTGGGCACCTTCTTTGCATGGCTGAGCACTGAGACACTGTGGTATCAACCCTGAAGCCTTCCTCTGTTACACCATATTTATCCCAGTTCCTATCTGTAAGATAGCAGATCTGCTTTGAAACAGCAGAGCTGTGACAAATGCCCACAGTTTTCCTGCTTCTGAGTGAAACAGTGGAAATGCTGGAGAGTTCAGGGCACTCCCAGCTATTGCTCTGCTTTCCGTGTCTTTGCTGGGAGTTAGGATTGGAAACACAATTTGCTTTGCATTCCCTTCTCCGATCTGTTTACTTTTGGAGCCTTAAAGCTCTCCAGGCGCCGCAGAAGGCCTCCTGCCGGGTGACGCGAAGTTCATGGAGTACGCTCGCTTCCTGCCAAATGTTTGGCATTTTGAGTCTTCAGGACAGCGTGGAAGGGTTGCCTGGGAGGTGGTACGTGATGCACGCAGCAGCGTTCACGCTATAACATTTTTGTAGGCTGAACTGGCTCTCTTTCTGTTTTCAGATTAAAGATTTTGTCTGCGGCCAGGCCTGAGCCCGGCAGCGCGTTTCAGGCCGGGTCTGTGCAGCAGCGCAGAGAGGGTGGCACTCGGTATGGTTTGTTCTTATTTACATCATGCTGGTGCCCAGAGCCCTGCTCAGGGGCCAAGATTCCCATCGCGCACAAACACAGCAAAAGCTCGCCCCGAGCTCCGTAATGCGACGGATGAGACAGGAGGGGCTGATGAGGCAGTCTGCGTCAGCCTGGTATGCGGCAATTGCAGTCTCGGTTCAAGACAAACGCAAGTGTCCTGCGTAAAGTCACCCAAAGGCGTTGGCCGTGTGCCATCCTGCTAGCGATTCATCCCCTGTCTGGACAAAACCCTTGATTTGAAGCTTAGTGGTGGGGTGAGGTACTCTTGGCAGGCAGCATTGCAGACATTGGGAGAGGTGGATTAAAAGTCGGCGGAGGGCAGCTTGTGCTGGTGGCCCATCACCTGTTGCAAGCATCTGCTTCCCCATGCCTGCTCTGACTGCCCTGTAATTTAGCTCCTTCCACGGTGGCCTCCCAAGGAACCGGTCTGACTGTTTGGACTCTCAGAATTAACTGCCACTTAAACTAGGGGGTGAAGAACAAGCTTTCTCAGAGAAGGATCAAATGCAGGTGGTGTTGAGAGTTCTGATGTAGCCCTAAGTCAGTAACGCACACGCGGACACCAGCACACTAAACACCCACAAAAAAGCTAGTGTTTCGGTAGGGTCTCTGGGAAGCATCCCCGTAGGATAATAGCATTTGGCATTTCTCCTCTCCTACAGAATTCTCTCCAGGCAGGCAACACGAGCTTGGAGAAAACTGCCTGTTGACAGTGTTTCTCCTAGGCTTCCCCTCTGTGCGCTGGATGAATTTAATACCCTTTTTGCAGGCAGGAACAGTGAAGGGAAGTGATTTGACAGGTCCGGATCCGTTGTTTGGTTTGGAATTGGATTTTGCAGGTGCCTCCTGCTCCTCTGTTTTGCTGGTAGGCATCAAACTTGTTTAATTTGGAGCTGGCAGTGGGAAGGGAGGCTGCATCCAGGGGAGCAGCTGAGCAGAGCTAAGCAAGGTGGAGGGGTTATAGAGACTCGCCAGTCCGCGGCCACAAACAGCACCGAGCCAACAAGGCAGTCCAGCAGAGCCACCCGCGAGCCGCCTGAAGCCCCCGGCCGCCGGCCCCGCGCGCGCAGCTGCCTCTGGAAGCGGGCAGGGCGCTGCGCCGGACGCAAGCCAGCAGCCCCTCGTGCAGCAGCTGCCTGCGCTTTCTCTCCCTTTTTGAAAGAGGCCTTTTCCAGTAACCAGGCAATTAAAAGATTAAATTTCAATGCGGTTAGCACAAATGACCTGTTTGCATCAACACGTGTTTTGCTACAGGAGATGCCTCCATCGTTCCTACCCCAGCTTTGCTGTCTACAAAAACCCACAGACAGCCCCTTCTGCCCTCCCCCCAATCAGTTCCAGCCAGGATGCTAATTAACGGCTTTGCTTAATTAGCTGAGAGTGGACTTCCTTCTGGAGGAACCAGTCTCAAGTGCCCTCTGTCTGTGGGCTGCCAAGTGAGATGAAGAGAGGAGCTGTTACAGCCTAGGGGTTTTTTTTTAACTGTTTGAGCGCCACACACACACACACACACACACACACACGTGTGACAACCGTGCCTCCCCGGGGCCCTCTTCTGTGTAAGCCGCTCTGGCTCTGGTGGTGAAAAATGAAGACGTAACTTACCGATCCTACCTAGTTTTAACGTTAACCTACCTAGGCTTAACGTTAATGGGGCCAGTGCTAAGGAGAAGGGTGCATGACATGTTCTGAAAATCACCCTGCGTAAAAGTAGCTTGGTTTCAGCTTCCGCAGGGCTTGGCTGGAAACTTTTCCTGAGCATGGTGCACGTCCCAGGCTAGCTGGCAGGATTCCCTTCCACGGCTTAAGGCCTTAGGCGCTTAATGCCTGCACTTCCCCCAGGGCTGGGCTCCCCCAGGTCCTTCAGATCCAGCCATGGTATTCAGTAGCTTCCAAATGCCATTCGTGCAATGATCCTGAAGGCTTCTCAGTCAGGTGGGAGGTCAGGGCTCTGACAGAACAGTCTTCTCTTGTCCTTTCAGACTTCTCCTCTTCTCCAAACCTTGCATTAGTCCCAAAGCCTTGGTAAGTGCAAGATGTCTCCTTTGAAGGACAAGATAAGACATGGGCGGACAGCAAACTAGGCAGAGGAATGGAAAATTAAGTTATATAACAGGGCTGTAG